TTGGCACCTTAATATTTTTATAATTTGCAATAAAATCTGTGCATCTTGTTGCATTCCCCATTGTTTCATTTTCAGATGGAAGACCTCTCTGTTTAGGCTCTGTTCTCCCTGACCCAGATGTGATCTTCTGAGATAGTCTGCAAAGATGTTTTCCTCTCCTGGGAGATATACTGCCTTCAAATTCTCAAGGTTAAGTTGTGTCCAAAGCATAATTGATTTCTTATGTTTGATGAGCTTGATATATGCCCCCAAATTCACCAAAATTCATTGCTCAGAGAGGAGCAAAGCTCATAAGAGCTTGAGAAAAAAACTCTGAATTCTAGAGTCTCTTGATTTGATTTGAGTATTCTCTGTGTGTTATACGTTCTGATATAGGCTCCCCATCTTCAGGAGCTTGCATCTGTGGTTATAGAAAGCTGCTCTGGTTCTTACAGGAATCCCTTGTTTAGATTTTCCTCCTTTAGCCACAATCTCAGGTTCAGTTTGATTTCCTGAGGTAACCGTAAGACTTGAATTTAAGTATGGTTCTAGTCACCCAAATTTGCTTAGGGTGCTTGGATGCTTCTCATGTGCCAAAGTGCCTGTTCTCCTATAGTGGATGTGAGAGAATCTATTAAGTTCATAAATTATCTTGCTGACGTCACTAAGAGGAAGAAGAGCTTTTATCTTGTTCCTTATCCAATATGTCCTTTCTTCTGACAGGGTTATTGGTGCCAAAATGGTGTAGTTATTGGTCACCATAAATACCATAATATTGGAAGCAACCAGTATGGTTTTCTCAATATTTAGGATCCAGTCATTACCCTGTATCACCACTTCTGTGTTGTGTATGGTCGTAGAGTGAGTTTGAGCTATGATCAGAATATCGTCAGGATAGTGGTAAATTTGTATTCCTTGTTTCCAAAAGGAGCTACCCAGTCTTTTGTTCCTGTCCTAGCTGACATGCAGGGATAGTTTATTCCCCTGTTAAAAAATGTACTTTATTTTGCCTCTCACCTGCGCACA